AGTTTAAGTATTGACTTGCCCTCAATACCTTGGTTCTGCTCTCTGTGTCATTTGATTAGATAGCTTTCCACACCCTCCTCACCAGGACTCAGCGCTTCCTGCATCTGTATCTGTGTCTTTACCTCTCCTTTTTGTGACTCTCTCTGTCTCCGGAACCTTGTCTCCCTTGGTCTCTGTCTTGCTAAATGTTTAGTCCAAGCAACCTTAACCTCTAATCCTTCTTTTTCTTTCAAGGAGAGGGAGGGAGGGAGGGAGGGAGGGAGAGAGGGAGGAGAGAGAGAGAGAGAGAGAGAGAGAGAGAGGGAGGGAGGGAGGGAGGGCGGGAGGGGGAGAGGCACCAAGGTAGCATTCACATGAACACATGGGCACATTCATTTCCAGGAAATGTCTTGGTGGACACAGATTTCCATAGCCGCGAGAAGACACTTATGTAATTCTAGGTGTAGGGTTTCTCCCCGACCTCACTCCCACTTTGGATGAAACAACTGAATAATTGTGATCTCTCTCCAGCCACACAAAAACCAGTGCACAGTTGCACAATCCCGTGGGCATTCAGTCTGTCCGGAGGTTGTCAGACATGTGCTAGGACTGGCTCAGGGAGAGGAATTAGAAGCAAGATTATTTGGTTGGTTTGGCTCCTTATCAGGGGGAAGGCTGGATGGCGTTCAGCCTAGGTATTTATCCCAACTGATCACACCCTGAAATGTGCCGAGTCCTGCCTCCCTTGTCCTGTTAACTCTTTCCAGACCTACTGTGGTTTGTAGCACTTTTCTCCACTGCCCTGTTGCTCGGAGACATCACTTACCTGTGACTTAAGAAGGTTTTATTCTTCCTTTCCATTCAGGATAATGTCCGCCATATCCCTCCTTTAAGAAGTTAAGCTGCTGTGTTTTTTGTAGATTGAGTTTAGAGAAGCTACATGAGCTCATGAATGATTTCTTGTCTATGAGCTGGGGAAATGAGAGAATTGTAATCAAATCTTTGAAAATAGATCCGATAAAGCAGGAGAAATGCATCTTATCCTCACGTGGATTCTCATTACCACCTATGGGTGGCATCTAAGTCTCCTGAGCCCAAGTAGGAGGTAATGTGTACCTAAGGAAGGTCTATTTGGAGGTCATCACATGTTCTGTTTGTCTGCATGTATTTGCCTTTGAACATAGAAGGAAAATAATTTTCCCAGGCTGTGCACTTCCTGCGGTTACTTGTAATATGTTTATTTGTGGAACATTGTGTACCGTAGATGCTAATTCAAAGTCCATTATAACTGAATGTGTGACAGAGTTCTACCTGACTTCTCGATCATTTTGCACATCCTTAGTAATAGGACATCGGCGCTGCTGGAACCGCAGCAGCTGCTGGGACCACGTAGGGAGAAATGACGTCTCTCCTAACAGCCTGACTCTAAAAATACTACCTTGAAAACAGGCGTGATAAAATTCCCTTTGCCTCATTCAAGGAAACAACTGGAAATAAATGTCTCAGTCTACATATTGTTGAGGATTTTCAGTGACACAAAAAGCAACCCCACCTTAAATTGTGAAAATTGATCACAATTTAAGGCAACCCAACCTCAAACTGAGAAAATTGTGGCATTCTTTTGAGTTAATCAAGCTGTTACAATAATCATAACCTGCATGTCTTTTCCCATCCAAACCACTGTAAACCTGCTTTCCCCACCCCTGTATCTGAGGGGACCTAGACTTCCTCACACTTACATAGGTAGATACTGCACTTGATTAATTTGTATTTATGGAGGGCTGCAGCATCCTGTGGGGTTCAAATTCCAGATGCGGCATTTAGTTGTGTGACCCTACACAAATAACCACTCTAAGATGCAGGGGTTTTTTTACAGGAATTGTATTGCAGATCCCAAGGATACAGGAGGGCACCTTGATTGGCATTCCCATCCCTATTGCCCACCACAGGAGAAAGGTGGTACCCAAAAAAGATACCAGGTTGCTTTCAACAGAATGGCAACTGTATGGCCCAAACCCCACAGATGTCACCCATGGCTACTAGGAGGATTTTCAGTAAAGTGCGTAAAGTACCTCCTGGTTTGATGCCTGGAAAACAATGAGTTTTTTATAAACAACAACATGTACTGGGGGATTGTCTTCTGCTTTGAAAAGGATCCAACCTATAACAACACTCTTCTTCCTGAATTAGATTATAAGCTTCATGAAGGCAAGGACTGAACTATTTAAATTTTTATTTTATTTAAGTTCTCCACACACTAGCTGGTATAAAATGCTATAGTTTTCCCCCCCAGCACCCTAGGTATCCTCCCATAATCTCAGTACTCCAGGAGGAGTGCTCAGGTGGTGTGGCACAGGGAAGGGGATAGAACAGGAGTGGTGCTTTCGCTCCAACCCCACCCCTGTTCTCTGCTGCTCTGGAGAGCCTGTGGGCCTGCACGGGTGGGACCGTTTGTATGCCTAGGTAGCCTTGAATCAGCTTTATTTTATAAAAGAGTAAGTTGGTCACAAAATTGGGTATTTGAAAAATGAGTGTGTGTTCACACACATACACAAATGAAAACAAATGACTTTAAAAAAAAAATTCAGTTCAAGTTGCCACTTGAACTGAATGGGAAGTGATAAGAAATGAGAAAAATGTGCCCATCTAGAAGGGAGTAACCCTTTCTCGGCCGTTGCCAAGTGCCCATCCAGATGTGGTATCATTAGATCTTCAGACTGTTCCAAAAAGGCCAGAATCTGTACTTTTTGTGTGCGTGTGGCCTTAAATGACACAGTAGACCAAATGCACATAATTGACATTTAGAAAGCCTTTCAACCCAGATCATCAGATTTTTGTATTCTTCTCCAGTGTGCATGGGACATTCCCAAGGGTAGAGCACATGATGGGTCAGAAAACTAGCCTCAGCCAGGTCAGGAAGACTGAAATCACACCAAGCATATTCTCTGACCACAATGCAAAATGACGTTCCATTAGCACCCAGTTAACTGCTGGAGTCAATGGCTATAATTTTCTCTGTTTTCATGCAAAATAATTAGCAGTGACTATAAAATCTATAGCAAACTTCAGAGTGAGGTTAACTAAAAATATTACTTCGCATATGTTTAAACTGATGGGGGGGGACCGTTTGTCAACACAGGTGGTTCCTTTATACAGGGGACACGTAACCTCACATGTATTAAATAATTCTTTGCTATTAGTCCTAATAGGTTGATAATAGCTTTTCGTTTTTCAATCATTCAGCATCAAAACTGGGAACCCCCTTAGAACACACCCTAGACACATCTCCTACCTTCATGGGTACGGTACAATGATTATAATCAGGTCCAGTTGAAGATCGGATGGGGACTAGTAAACTAAAAATGATGGACAAATCGTGTAATATGTAAAGAAACAAAATAAAGTTTTTTCACTGTAATAACAACTGAAAAAAAAATTGGGATTTTTAATGTTACAGTTTCCTAACTTCCAAATATTGATCTGTCAAACAAGCACTGTATGGGAGGGAAGGATACAGTTCCGTTGAGACTCAGTGCTGAAGGTGATGTTCAAAGACACAGGCACACCTCATCCCTGAGCGCTGGTGCGGGGTGAGGTGGGGCGTGCGCTCACCCTGCAACTTCTGCCCTCCCATTTGGCAACCCCAAATGATGGTTTTCAAGAGTTTGAGCATTTTCACAACATTTGAGTTAATGTTAAATAACTAATAATTGGGAGCAGGTGTGCACATGAATTACTCAGGCATTATACCTAAAGAAATATTACCATAACAGCAGAACAACAGACATGGGGGACATCATTAAGTTGACCAATCTCAACCAGACCTTCCCCATTCCCTCCCCTGTCCCCACCTTCTTTCCCTTTTCCCATTTGTCTTCCTCTCTTTCCTCCTTTTTATTCTCTTATTTTCCCAGTTAAGTGAAGGGATAATTTCTTTTATAAGGACCCCTGTGATTACACTGGGCCCACCTCAATAACCCAGGGTGATTTCTCTGTTAAAATCAGCTGCTTAGCAACCCAATTCCATCTGCAACCTGAATTCCCCATTGCTGTATAGAAACTAATGTATTTATAGGTTCTGGGGATTAGGACATGGCCATCATTGAGGGTTGGGGTATTATTCAGCCTCCAACAAAGTACCTACTATGTGCCAGGCACTGTATGGACTTATAGTCTCTTTGATTCTGCTTTGCTCTTGTCACTGACAGCTGGAGATCTGTGTTTTCTCCATTTTTCTATTTGAGTGAACATAACCAAGTCGCTCATATTGAATATCCACATCTTCAGACACACAGCAGATACAGCACCTGTTCATGCGTGTCAGCTGAATGAAATGCGCCCAGCACCTGCTGCCTCCATGAACTTCACGAGAAGTGCTTTCATTTGGGGCAGTGGCTGTGGGTCAGTATCAAGCTCCCCGTGACACATCCAGAGGGGCCTCTCATTGTTTCTCAACTCGGACACCTTGGCAAGTCAAAGGAGGCACTACTAACAGTGATGCAGGAGCAACAGGAATGAAAGAGGACTCGTCCTGGGAACACCAGGCCATGGGGTCCCCCTATATGTTGGGTCCAAATGAATAATAGCAGCCGTAAATATTGTGACTGTGTATTGAGTACCCCATAGGTTCAGAGCACTGTAGTAGAAGCTTCACATACTTTACCCCATTTAGTTCTTCAAACAATCTTATAGGTGGTATTATTGTCATTACTTTTAATCATCCCCAGTTTAGACTTGAGGAAAAGAAAGCTCAGAAATGCAAATACCTAGCTGAAGCTAGTAAGTTGCCGAGTTAGGATTTAAACCCAGTTTTGTTAAAACTCTGCAACAAATGCTTTCTCCATTATATTGCCTTCCAGGAAAAGAGTAGTTTCTTGGAAATGATTGAACTGCTGTTGCCAGCTGGGGTGGCTGGGTATTTTAAGGATGGTGTGACTTGTGAGAACCGCTAAGTGCTTCTGTGAGAGGACTGTGAACAGCCAGGAGCCATAACAGATGCTTTTCCTTCGTCTTGCCTTCAGGTCTGCCAGTTCGTGGTCTCTGTCAACGGGCTCAACGTGCTGCACGTAGACTACCGGACCGTGAGCAACCTGATTCTGACGGGCCCGCGGACCATCGTCATGGAGGTCATGGAGGAGTTGGAGTGCTGAGCGGGGGGCGGGCCCCTCTGGTGGCCTGCAGACGAGCCATGCCAAAACAACACAGAGCAATGCAAGGACGAGACTTCCGTGCCCACGGGTGGCTTTGGACACACAGATCTTTTCTCCGTGTACACACATCCTCATTCGAGTTCCATACACTGTTTGAATGTGGAAGGAATGGGTAATGCACCTTAAAAACAACAGCTCGTGTCAGTGTAGAACATATTTGAGGCGCAGAATTTTCTGATTAGGTAGAATCGCTCTTCATAGTTCTCATCCATTGTTTTTATCTTAGTTTTGCAGAAAGTGGTTGAAATGCTTCTCTAGGCAAAACAGCTACATGCTAAAATCCCCTTTGTAGGGGGTCAATAGCATAGTTTTTACAGACTCTAAAGTGTAGCCTCACCAAAATGAGCTTGGAAGTGCTTGTTAGAGAACCTAGATTCCACTGAGCTTCACATTAAAGCAACAAAGGAGTGATGTCTGCAAATTAGCATTTTGAAGGAGGTTCTAAAGCATTCGAGTGCTTAAAAGCCATCAAAAAGTGGCTTTTTCTTAATTCCTGCCTTTAGTATCAACTTTTAACTTGACATATGTTTTCAGCATACGTTGACAAACAAAAGCGATGAGATGGTATGGGTGGGTAGATAAGGAGATGCCGCTTAAAACTGTTTTCTGTTTTCTCTGTCTGAGCCTAAAGCATTTTGTTCTGTCCGCTACCGCAGCCTTCTAGAGTTAATGCTGAGTGTGTTGAGTGTCAAAACAGAGAGGTTTGTATATACACATATGATCCGGAATCAAGCCTCTGGCAAGATTTCACTCTGAGGTTGTCCCTTTTTAAGTGAAGTATCCTAGAACTTGGCCCATATGTGATGAAAACTTGAAACTAAATTGCCTACTTGGCCTGCATTTCTACTAGCTTTCGAGTATAGCATATTCTAAGGACATGACATGCTGCTCATTTGGCGAGGTTACTATGTTTTGCCATGTATAATATGACTTTTAGCTCAGTTTTTTGAGGGAAGAATAAAGATGAGCTTATACATGGGCATAATGATTGCAGAGCACGGGCCTAACAATCCCGTGTATAATGCGCACAGAACCGTGGGGGCGCGTTTTACATGGGGGCACATTTTGCACCACCAAGTGCGGTATTTTTCACCAAAAGCAAGTCCTGTGTGTTGTGACTTTTCAGCTCACTTGCATATATATGCATGTTTCCTTCTTTCTCATTATTATTATTTTGACCTAGGAAAGAATGCATCTTGGGGCTTGGTGTATAGAGGAAATTCCTCAAAGTGCCAAATGAGGGAGTCAGGGAATACTGAATTCTTTTTCATTTCATATAGTGAGCTCTGAATGATGAAGTTACTTTCTTATTATGTGTTAGCAAAATAAAACATGAATGATGTACCTCAGCCATTTCTTCGTGAGAGGCTATCATGATGTATTGGTACTGGTGGAACCCACACACCATGCGGAGGGCGGTGCTGCTGTGTTTGTGCAGTCCAACTTTTCTGACCTGTAGCTGTAGTCAGAGAGTGGGATTTTGAAGTCAGATACAATGGCCAATGTTAATATTGTCGATGTGCATTTGAGAAACATCATCATCTCCATCCATATTATTGTATGTGCGTTTATACTGTATGCCAGTCTCTGTGCTACAGATCTTAACAAATATGATGTCTCTTAGTTCTCATCACAACCCTGCAAGGTAGGTATCATCATCCTCACTTTTCGGATGTGGAAGCTAAGTCCGAGCAAGTTTAAAGTGGTCTCTAAGATCACCCAGCTGCAGAAAGTGTGAAGTGATAGGAGCCTGGATACCGACATGGACTTCCGTCCTGTTCAAGCCCGTGTCACCCCCACCCCTAGCCTTTCCCCCTTTGGGGACCTTCTGTTGAAGGTTTAGTCTGTACCACGTGCTGTGCTAAAAACTATTCATTACTTATTCTTATTGACTGGTGAGGTCAAGATCATTACCCTCATTTTACAGCTGAGGAAATCGACTCGTGAAGAGGTTAGTTAGTCTTATGCCCAAGGCCCACACAACCAATAAGCAGGAGGCCTTACCATTCCACTTGAAAATATTTTTATAATGTCTTTCAGAGATGAGTCTTAAATGGTTTCTGTGCCCCGGTGTCCAAAGGCCTTTCGAGAAATGGCATCTTCCTGTGTAGCTACTTGTACACTTTACTCACGCCCTGAAGCCCGTCATTGTGGACCCTGGCATAATATCACCTCCCTTTAGCCAACCTAAGCCCCAGAGAAGTGAGTTTCTGGCTTTATTTACCCCCCACAGCCACCTGCCTGTGAAATCTATTTGATTGGGAGCGTCCTTGATGTCTTTGGTCCTGTGAATCAGAAGGTTAAGGGAGGGAGGGAGGGACGGTTTCCTACATCGGCTCTCATCGCTCTTGGTTTAAAGGCCAAATGCTAGACAATTCTATGTAAGGCCAAGAGAGCTTCACTTTTGCTCCCCCTGCAGCCCACCTGTGACCTCCTCACACTGTAATAGGAAGGAATGCTCCCCCTCCTCCAGGGGGCCTATCTAGCACCCTCCAGCCTTTGCACATGCGGTGTCTCTTCCCTGGCATACCCTTCCTTCTCTGTCTTTGCCTGGAAAAGCCTCTCTCATTAACTCACAAATCTCGCTGCGTCCAGAGCCTGGGCCAAACCCCAGTCTCCTGCTCCCCAGCCTACGTCCTTTCCAGTCCAGTGTCCTCCAGCGGAGAGAAATTTTGGTGCACACGGGCCTTTGGCTTTGGGGCACTTACAAATGCAGATGGCCCCAGGTACCTGTGCAGGAGGAGGGTGTATACATTTTAATGGACTCAGGTTGTTAAATCATATCATTAAAAAATAAGTGTTTTGTGTGGTATGTTGACAGTAGAACTGCTTTAACATTTAGAAACTCCATTCCTAAACATAACACCAAGAATTATTCTAAATTAACAGTGAGCAGTATTTCTAAGAACTTCTGTTTCAATATGGGCGGGCATCTGTGTGCAGCAGTATGTTGTGCGTGAGGTTTCGCACACTGAGAATCCCTTGAAATGGCTTCTTTGCTCCCAGAGAACTTTTGGTTTTTCGGGTGTCGGTGTCATGCGTTTTTGTGCTTTTGTGATGGAGATGGAAGTAGTGTTTTTGTTTCTTCACTGGCGTGGTATGCGCCATCAGTGCAAATCCGAAAGCCATGTTTGTTAATGCTGTTATATGTGAAGAGGAAAATGCGGTTGCCTTTTGGATTGATCCTATCATGTGATGTTTTATTTTTCATCTCTATTAAATAATTATATAAATTGACCGGGGAGCTAGTTGGCAAGTGATGGGGAGCATGAAAAAGATACCCATATCTGAGCAGATTAGATGTGATCAACTTCACGCCAGCTCAAAGGTGAATGTGTCGGAGTGGTAGCAATGAATAATTCAAAAATCGTAGCTTTCAGTTCAAAGTGGAGTCTCATGTTTTCAGATACTCAAGCCCTACTTAGGGGGCCGACAGTAACTATTCTCCCCTGTCGAGTATTAATCCCATTTTATTTTGTTCATAAATGATCAGTTTTGCTAATTAGTTGGAGTCTACTCTATCACTGACTATGGATTTACTCACTGAAGGCAGAACTTCACGTGGAATATCAGTTCAGTACCAAAAGGACCAATGTGCAGTGTGCCAAGATGAAGGTCATCGTCAAAGTTAGCATCCGCTGTTGTCAGATGCATTAATATATATATATACTTAATATATGTTTATTTTTAAATTAGATGGAAATTTATGTTCTCCCTTTATTAAAAATTGTAGCATACTACTTAAAATTATAAGGTAAAAATAGATAGTATAGCATGAAATAAATGCTAAATTTTTAAAGCAGTGACCTTAGGGTTTCGGTTTTCCTGTCTTTCAGAACAAATTTGCTATTTTTTATTCTAAGAAAGGGTTGCGTTCTAAAGCTGATCTACTACTAACCTATCAGATGAGAACACAGGGGACTCAGCTCCAATCCTCTAATGTAGCCAAAAGTGCCATTTGTAAAACTACTTAATGATGGATGTTTTCTGAAGCTCTTTTGCCAGGGGGGTGGGGGGGAGTGCATTAAAAAGCTTTTTCTGTACTGTATTTGAGTTGGAATCATTTTGTCCCTACACAGCCTAGAATGGACGAGTGTTGTGAAATAGTCCATACGGAGATTGCTGGATGGTGTTTTACTGCTCTGGGGGCATGTCAGTATTTTTACTTCCAACTAATTAGGAAATCAGTATACAATCCAGTGTGTAGAGCGCCAGGGAGAGTCTGGGGGTGAGTGGTTGTTTGGACTACACTCAACATTAACCAAAAGAACTTGACTTTGTTTCACATCTATTCATGTATTTATTTATTCAAGAAACCTCACTGAGGATTTGCGTTTTGCTGGACACTGCACGCAGGCCTTGGGAATAATACAAAGCTAAGGAGATGTAACCCTGGATCCAGCTTATTCTCCAAGCATGGCCTTTGGCCCTGGCTGGTGTGGTTCAGTTGGTTGGAGAGTCATCCCCCATACACCAATAGGTTGCAGGTTTGATCCTGGTCAGGGAACCTATAATTCTCTCCACACAGAGGGAGGAATATGAAATAATGGTATTGACGCAGGTGGTTTAATGCCAGAAATTCCCCAAGAACCAGAACACTGACAACAACTGACATTTAGTTGTATTCCCCTTTCCAGTCTTCCCCCACTTACCCCAACCCAAGGTAGCCACATTGGTGAATGTTGAGTTGACCATTTTCTCATTCTTTTTGCTCTTGATATTTGTTTACATTTAAAAAAAATAAACATTTTAAAAATAGCATCAAATTTTAAGTAGTTTTCTGGGACTGGCTTGTTTTAATTCAGGATCATTTTACTAAGATTCTTCTAGATTTTTAGTACGGTTGTAATTAATTCATTTTTCAAGGGTTCGAAAATTTCTACAGTACACATTATTTGTCTGTTGTCTTGTCACTAGACATGTGGGTTAGTTCCATTGCCAAGGTCACAACTAACCAGTTTTCAAAGTGCTTGAACCAAGGTACCCTCCCATCTGAAATATAAAAGTGATGTGTTGATCAATATCTTAGCCAGTGCATGATGTTGTGAGACTTCTTAATTTTTGTCCAATAAATGTCTACTTGGTCAATGACACTGGAGTCCTAATTTGCTGCAAAGCTCACAAAACTTGAAGCACAGCAAAATGTAAGAAATGGTTTGTAATCCTGACTTACTACTGCATCGGTATCTTCGTGATGCCCAGGATGTCTTCCATCCTTGTTCTGCAACAACTTTGTGATTCCAACGAGGAAAGGATTCTTGGAAGTCAGTAAAACGTATCCAAGAACATCCAGAAGTAATTTATTGAGCACCTACTATGGGCCTGTCACTAAGTCTTTGGCAAATAGCAGTAAGTAAGACGTGACCTTATGAAGTTGGCATATTCTTGGGGGGAAACAGACAATAAATAAGTTATATAAATAAAACAGTGCACTTTATTTAGGGGTGAGTGCTGAAAAGTAAAATGAAACCAGATGGCGTGATAGAAAACGGAGTTGCTACATTACTCAATTCCTGTGAGGCACCATTCACATTGCATTATACATGAACAGCACCCCCTGGAGTTAGGCAGTGCAACAGCCCTGAGGGCATGGGGGTTGGGAAACCTGGGCAAACCTGTTAGGAGTTAATGCCTAACATGAGATTAAGCCAGCCTTCGACAAATCTGAAAGAAGAGGATTATGGAGAAAACAGCAACGCTAAAGGTACTGAGGCCGGAAAAACCATGGGGGTTAAGAGCATGGGCTCTGGAGACAGGGACCTGGGCTCAGATCACAGCTCTAGCGCTTAGGAGCACGCCCAGCTGTGACTCGGCCTCTCTAGACTGGTTTCCTTACCTGTAACATGAGGACAACAGTACCTACCCCATTGGCCTCCCTTGAGGATTAAACAAGATAGTGCATGGAAAATGCTTATCCTTGTGCCTAACCCATAATACATAATAATTGGATGTTTCTTTTGCTTTTATGCCCACTAAATAGAAGGAAAAAAAGCACTCGGGAAAGTTCTGACCTTACTCAAAACTCACACCAACTAATCCCCAGGACCAGACCATAGGCCCAGAAATGCTCAGTCTGATGCTTTTTTTTTTTTTTAGCACACCTTTCTGTGCCTTGCTTTTCTCATTTTTTTTATAAACCCAAACCTCACTAAATGATATGATAATATCTTCATATAGCTATATGAAGATTAATGAGTTAATATATTTAAAAGTCAGCACAGTGCCTGATACCTAGGAAGAGCTCCCAAAGTCACTATTGGTAGCCATTACTACTATTACCATGCCTTGTAGATCCCATCATCCGGTCGGACCACGCTGATCCATAAGATTGTCTGTACGTGTTGTCTCTCTGCATCCTCACCACCGACCACATACACTTCAGCTCTTTTCATTGGGAGAGGCTTGCATATATCTGAAGGAACCCAAAACACTAATTCAAAAAATATATATGCACACCCACATTCACTGCCGAGTTATTTGCAGCAGCCAAGGTATGGAAGCTACCCAAGTGTCCATCAAAAGAGAAGCAGGTAAAAAGGTGTGGAACATTTACACAACGAAATACTACTCAGCCATAAGAATGAAAAGAATGAAATCTTACCTTTTACCGCAGCACGGATAGACCTAGAAGAGTGATTTTCAGGCACACATAAACTAAAACTCGGTGGCACACTGAACAATGTGTTTTTTGCCAGTCAGACAAAACATGGGTATAATTTTGACTCATTCACATTGGATGCCATTGTTGTCTTGGCTGTTGTCTTTTTTTTTTTTTTTTTTGACAGTATAAGGGAAAAAAGGTCAGTGTCCCTGACTAAATTAAATAGTCAGGTATTGCATGTTTTAAAAAGGTCTGTGACACACAAGTGTGCCTCTTGTGGCACACCAGTGGAAAATCACTGATCCAGAGGATACTATGTTCAGTGAAATAAATCAGTGAAAAACACACACCATATGATTTCACATATATGTAGAATCTAAAGAAAAAATTAAACAAAATAGGAAGAGGTTCATAGTTACAGAGGACAGACTGTTGGCTACCAGAGGGGAGGGAGGTTGGGGGCTGGGTGAAAAAGGGGAAGGGATTAATAACTACAAATTGGTAGCTACAGAGTAGTCACAGAGATGTAAATTATAGAATATAGCAAAAATATTGTAATGATTATGTATGAGTCCAGGTGGGTACTTAAAATATCAGAGGAACCACTTTGTAAACCACCAAGTTGTACACCTGAAACTAATACAGAACAATATGGAATGTAAACTGTAATCGAAAAAAACCATCATAGACTAGATAATAGTAGGGTTAGAAAATATGTATATGATCTACTCTGTTTTCAATTAAGTACATTAGAAGAAATCACTTTTGCTGTATGCCTCAGATACTGAGGAGCAAGGAGATCCCCAGGTTGGTTGAAAACATACCTTTGGATTTGTGGCTGTAGGTTGAGGGAGAGCCAAAAATAAGTTTGCATTGGATCCTTATTTTATTCAGCCACCTTACCTTTTAAAACTGAAAATTATATGTAAATGACTTACCAAACATAATCTTTGAAACTCAAGATTTCACAGTAAATAATTCCACCAGACTGCAACATATTTACCTATCTACTTCAAGATCATGCTTGCCAGCAATTTTAGAGCCTGTTCAGAAAGCAATCCAAGTAATCAATTGTGCTTTACATCCTGGGGCAAACCATAGTTCTCCGGCTAATTGGAGATATCATCTCCATTGTAAAGGAGTCCCTTCCCTGAGCACACTTTCATGGAGACAGCATTCCATTTCTGGGGAGCTTCCCAAGTCTAGAGGTTTGGGAGCGTTATGCTGGAGTTATGTAAGCAGAACCTCCACCCTGTGCTTCTGTTAGCACAGGCTCTCTGTAGGCAACGCAGAGGCACAGGCTGCTGCTTGCCTGGTACGTCCGGTGAATGTTCTGGGCAACATACAGCAGCGCTCTGCAAAGACCTTGGCTGAGGTGTCTCCTGGTCTTACACCTGGGACTTGACAACTCTCTTCCTTTGCCTGTCATTCTGCCCACGTGACTCTCTCTCTCTCTCTGCCTCCTGGCACTCCAAATGTTATTCTGAATGCCCTCTGCACCCCGGGGTTTAAATATTAAACTCTCTTCTTCCTGGAGTCTGAAGTGCCTGGGTGCACTAAGATAATTCATTATGGAGACTTTATGAAGGTGGCTAGTGATGCTTCTACGAGTCCAATCTGCGTGGATGGGATGTGGGCTGATAGGACAGTGAGGAGGAGAGAGGGGGAGTGAGGAAGGCCCTTCGCTCTGTTGCGTCAGCTCTGAAAATGTGTAAGTGTGGCCAAAACTGTGCGACGAGCCCAGATTTGAAAAGAGCTGAATGTTTCTGCCACTGGGAAAGGAAAAGTGGAGGAGTGTGACGAGGACCATGTGACATGGGAATGTGAAGGTTAGCTAATGATTAAGCCGGGAGACTGCCAGGTCTGGTGTTTATCAGCAAAGCGGGAGGGAAACGAGTGCCGTGAGCGCTCAGGAAGGTTGGAATCCACAAACCTCAGACCGGCCCGTCTGTGAGACAAGAGAACCACTGTTTTCTCAGACTTCCCATGCGGCCGGGCTGACTGACCTCCGATGTGAAAAGCTGTCCCTAGGGCTTTCCTTGGCTGACGTGGAACGGGAGGTGGCGAGCTCACCATCTTACTCTTAACTTACACGTGGTCTCTGCTCACAGCTGATGGTCATCCTCTCCTTGATTGCTCTGTTACACGCTTAAGTCCACCTTCTCTGCTTTCCTGCTTCCTCAGAGAACTAGCTGGCCCGGACTCTACACCCTCCTGTTATTTCATAAACGGAAACAAAAGCACAAAATCAGGGCCTTTTTTTTTTTTTTTTGTCTGTAAGAGACCTTGTAAAACTGCTGGTTCATTCTGTCATTTTATGGATGGAGAAACAGTCTTATAAAAACTAATAATACTAATAATAATAATAATAGTCATTGCAATCTAAATACATGCCAGCTACTCTACCAAATGTTTTCTATGGGCGATCTCATTTAATCCTCACACAGTGCCATGAGGGAGGTTCTGGTATAATGACCATTTTATAGGCAAGGAACTCAGCTCTCTGGGGAGGTTAAGTCGGTGGCACCAGGTCACATACAGGCCAAGTGCTGGGGCCAGAGTTGGAACCCAGTTGCTCTGACTGCTAGTGGTATCTGCCTCCTGTGGCCACCCAGTTGGCCCAGGAGCACGAGATCACACATGCAGGTGGTGGCTGAGAACCACCTAGAACCAGAACCGGCTTCTTTGGACCACTCTGCTTTCTTGACATGCTATGGGAGACCACGCCTGGCCCCCTCCTGCACAGCAATGATCCAGGACTCATTCATCAACCCTGGCGACTGCCGTGACATCCCGCAGACACCAGGGATTCCCCCGCTTTCCTCTGTCTCAACATCTCTACCTATCACCTGGTTCATTCTTAGGCTTTCTCTTGCTCCTAAGCTGGGGGTGTAGTGCCTATTTCTGCAACTTCCTTCTGAGATACTCTTCTGGAAGCAAACACCCACACACTTTTGCTTCCATACGTGCATTTCGTTTCATTCACTCAATACATAATATTGTTGCTTCCTAGTGCTATATTAAGTGTTAATCATTACAGGTGGGCAACTGAAATGTAACTTGCAAGTCTGGGAGCCCTAGAGGATAAGAACTACATCAAGGAATCCTGTAGCTCCAGATTCTAATCAAGTAGCCAGCACACAGTTACCTCTCAATTAATGTATGTTATATAAATGTGTGTTCGTACCAATCTCTTCAGTTTTACAATGGACTTTCCTGAAATGGACATGAGCCTAGAATAGAAGCCTTGCAGATGACCCCTCTGTCCTGCCTCCCCTCTTACTTAGATGACCTGTGAAAGACACTCACCCTCCTGCAATGCCTGGAAGCAAACCTGTGTGCATCTTAAGTTACCCCGGGTGCTCCAGGCAGGCCAGGCTGACATCTGCCGGAGCACAGGAGACCTTCAATCTGGCCCCTTCCTCGGAACTGAGAGAGAAGAAGGTGGACTCACAGCAAGCATACAGGAGAGGCAAAGGGTGCTCCTTCT